CTTATTATAGCACTTAATAAATAAAACAATAGTACCACTACTAGACAAAATCCTTCCACGGAGCTTATACGCATCTAATATCGTGAAATCTTCAGTATATAAAAAGCTCGCGCCAGTGTGGCTATGGGCACTGGCTTTGCGCGAGCACGTTCGGCAAGTACACATTGGCCAGTGCTGAAAGTCGCGGAGGCAGGCGCCGGCGCCCGGCTGGCATTTATGGCGTACGTGAAAATGCGCAGCCTCCAAGAGCGAAGAGAGGGGGCGTAAAGTGCACTCCGGGGTCAAGGGGCCCTTTTCAAAGCGGATTCGGTTTTAAAGCTTTTTTTGAGTGCGTGGGGCTGTTCGGCGCGCGCCCTATTTAGCGCCCGTAGTTTCGATCGAAGGAAACTTTGTGCCTAGAACCACAGCCAGGGCCATTCGGGTTCCTGACATGGGTGTCGATTAGACACGATTACTTATAATGAGCGAAACATGAAAAAGTATTCAGCCGAAAACTTTGATAGAATGCCTTCGAGGTGGTAGTGCAGCTGCTTCCGATCGTTACTGCCTTTGGAGTTCTTAATTCGATACAAATTTATTATCTCTGGCGCACCGAATATTGGTGATAAAGCTGTGATTATTGATGTTGCTTTTTGGTTACCTACCAAAGGATAATTAAAGTTTTCTGTGCTTTCGCGGTACAGTAGCAGGGTCAAATTAACTTGGCGTTCTGTGAGCCATTTTTCTTTCCTTTTATGACTAAATACAGCGCAGCCTTATTCACGCTATGCTCAGAGTTCATTCTAGATCATGACATAGCTGAATTTTACCAATTTCTCAATTTTTATCCACTCAATTTTTCGTAAATGAAAGCAGTGAACTCACGACACTCAATTTTCATTGCTTTTTTATTCGCGTTTAGTAAGAAAGATACGCTGTTAGAGTAGCTTGATGGCATTATATTTCTTCAACTAGATAAAATACAGGCAACACAGGGTTTAGGCCAGCCGCTAAGGGAGATTGAAAATGTTGGCCAAGATTTCCAAACGTTCAAGAGCACAAATAGCAGACCTAAGGAAGGAAAAACCACTTTATATAACGTTTAGTGTGCAACTACCACAGACAGACCTACAAAAAGGCTAAAGCCATAGCGCTTAAAGCAACGGGCAACCAGCAGCTACAATGCAAACCGTTTTACGTGTGAATACACTTTATAAGCGACCCCAAACCATCCACCGCCGTCGGCGGCGTCCGCAGTCTTCTCTCTATCTTTAAAAGAAAGGGGACTTGGCGGGCCGCAGCGCGACGCTCTACCGAATAAGCCACGGACGCGACGCTGATATCGCTGTCAGTAACGAGCCTTATACCCCCTCCCCCTTCGCTCACTCCTCCGCTCTCCTCGCTCGCTGCAGCTGCGCGCGCACCCCTCTCTCTCGCGCGCCCGCCTTCTTTCTCAGTCTCCCGTCGAGAGCGGGTCGTGAGGGGGAGTAAAGTTAAAATCCGTTGGCATTCGCCAGTGAGTTAACGTAAACTCCCCCGTGTGATCAAATTGCGATTCCCAGGAACCATTACACCATAAAGGCACCATAGTGTGATTAATAAATATAATAGTGCGAATTATTAAATACCCCTCATAGCATCACCCCGTGTATTTTCACTTAACCATGTTCACCCTCGGGGAAATGCTTGGGAGTTTTTTGTGATACTAGTTTGTCAGTCAACATGCGCCGGCTTACACGTCAGTTCTCACCCCAGCATGTCGGTGCGTAATGCCTGCGAAGTCGTCGACCATTTAGATAATCTTTGCCAGAAACAGAAGCACGTGAAAATAAATGTTTATTTGTTTTTCCCCGAGTCACAGAACAGGGTCGTTATTATACCCAGCAAATATACATCGCACATGGTGCGTATATCTACAACAGACCAACAATGGCATCGTTTCTGCCTGTAGGCTAATACACCCGCCTCGCGTGACTGAGCAGCATACAGGCCCGAAGCACCGAGCCTGCGAATAAAGGTCGCAACTGCCACACACATACACTGACATCTCCACTTCAGCACTTTAGTTCAATTCGTTTGTAAAGACGAAACATATTGACTGTGCAAGGTTAAAAACAAACTTGCCGTTTCGCAGTGTCAGTCACTGAGGATCCAAAGGCTGAAATACTCATCGAGGGATTATTTCAACGAAGCCGCATTACCTGATACATGAGTGTTAGTTTTGTGAACAGTGTTTTCCATCGAATTTGTAAAAATTGAAATCTTCGTTTCTAGTTCAAAAGCAGAGCAACGTTTCGTTTTTCATAAAAATAATGGCATTTGTACCTCAGAACACACGTCACCGAAGTTTTCTGTACAGATGTTTACCGATACAAGTTTTCAGTAGCAAAGTTATACCGGCGGGTATTTCAAGAAATGTTTCCAAAATTCTCCGAAATTGGGGAAATTTAATCTTTGTCAGATGCCTTCACAAGTACTACTTCTGCAGCAGCGGCAGGAACCTTAAGGTTACTAAATGCATCGATTGTAAAAGTAAATATGAAGTTTAAATTCATGAACTTTTTAATTAGTGTAGTTAGGCGCTTATGTCAAGTCATATAATTGAAGTTCCTAGTACGGAACACTCGTGACAGATTGCCTGTAGTATTATCGCGGAATAATGTAATCCAAGTTTGGCGGTGAAACCGAAACCTAAATTCAGGAGAGCGCAACAGCCATACGCGTCTAAGACGTCAAAAAGGAGCGAGCGTCGTTATATCGAGCATAGACCGACTTGGTTGTTTGGGTGTGTGAGCTGCGCTGGTTATTATAGCAGGCATGAAACACATACATCAACGAACGTGGATTACCCACACCTCTGTGTTGATGTCTTGAACAGTAACGTCAGTCTGATTGTCTGCTTGTCGCGCTCATCGGGGCTTCACTTTGGATTTCACCACTGAATTTGGTTGAATTTCATCACGCCGCAGTAGCTGCTCCGGGCCAATACTTCTATATCTCGAAGCTGAGTGTGGTTCTTTAAACTAAGAGCTATAATTCTAATTCTTGACTTGACCACCCAACTCAACTTATTAAAAAGAGCACTTACCTTACTTAATTAGGCTTGCAATGAAGTCTTCGACCGTTTTAAGATACCTGCGGCCATAAAAGAAGTAATTTGGAAGGCATCGAACAAGTATCACATTCCACGATATTTGAAGATTTTAGACACATTTTGTGAAAAACCTGGTATAAAAAACCATATAGATGTGTACAATTCCAACGCCTCCTCCAGAACGCTGCACAAACAAATGTACTCATAATGTTGAATGTTTCGCATTGCCTTTAATAACATGAACTAACAGACTCCATACATGTCTGTTATTTTGCGGGAGCGAACACGAACAGGGGAAACATTTCACGTTTTTCATTTCTGAAGCCAGTCACCGCATGGGTAAGTGTAATGCGGGCCTGTTTGTGCTGGTGGCGCGCTGGTCAACGTGCATTAGGTATGGTTTCGTATGCGACCACGTACACTTTCATCATGACCCGCGCATGATCCATGCGGGCGTTCAAGCGGGACGCAGCAACTTTGCGCGCAACATATTGGCTATCATTTTGTAATATTGTCGACTGAAATTACCTCTAGTTAACCTATATGCATCTGTGCTTCTTGATTCTCCTTTTCTCGCTCGCTTACATGTCGTCTCTCCTCTCTGCTAAGTGTCTGTTTGGCTGTAGTGACGTATCGCTATTAGTGCTGAAGATGAATAGAAATATCAGAGAGATAGAGAGAGAGAGAAAGGAGAGAAGGAAAGAATGAAACAAGTAATAAATTCGCTGAAGTGAGCGAATCACTCCTAAACCACGCACTATAACCACGCGCGAGCTCACGAGTGATCACACCACACGAACAAAAGAACATATGCTTTACGATTAATGGCTTCGCTGTTTTAAAGCGTTTGGACAACTGCTTGCACCGTTGCCACCAAACCTAATTATTTAGAGAGAGAGATAAAAACATTTATTGTAAATGAAAGAAAGATTGGGGGCAAAAGCATGACCCCGCTACATGGTTGGCGTCCGTAGTCCGGGACACCACATGACGAGACCCCGACTCACGCCCGTCTTACCAAAGTTCAGTGGAACTCCAGCGAGGAGCAGTTGAGGAGTGTGGTTTCCCATGCCTATCGGGAAATGGTAGAGAAAGGGGCAGGCTGCGATTTATCGTACATGTCCACACCATGCGGAAGGTGTCACAGGCCTCCCGACAGTGTGGGCACCACCCATCCGTGTTCGGATCGAATTGTTTTTAATTGCTTGAATTGTTTTTAACCTATGTAGATTACCTGTCTGTAGACGCCTTAATGTTCACACACCTACCTGCCTTACCAAGCCACTTCGCAGGAGCCGGCATAAGGCGATGAGTCGAGCGGCCTCGTCAGAGCCCTCAATTACCTCGTAAACCCTGATGACCAGGAGGCGAAACTATGTCTTTCATGGTTGGATCAGTTGCAGCCCGCATTGAAATTTTGCTGGATAAAGGGAATATCTCCCCTGCTAAGTGATGAGCACACGCGTTTTTGGTTTTCATGATTATAGTCTTCGAGTTCGGATCCGCAACAACAAGCGCTATTGCTACTTCCTAAGCCCGCTCTTTATTTTGTGCTCAGAAGGAGAGCCTTTGACGCGCTTTGCCTGGTGAACTACAGCAGTGTAAAATACCTTGAGTGTATGCCCTGCTATGTCTACGTAGTATGCACCAGGTTGAAAGCCATTTTGTCCTTCAAGCGTCGGAGCTCACGCATGTTGCCTGCATTCATGAGTATGTTTTCAAGTTACTAAATTGCTAACTTTATACCACAAGTGTGACCAATGGGTGTTTATTATTACTATACGCAATGCGCGTTCAGCCAAATTAACTAACGAGGTTGTTACTATCGTCGCTACTTTAAAAATCGCATCTGAATTTTTTCCTACCTAGTAGCTTTTTGTAATTACGTCGTGGGTAATTCTAAAGACTTGCTCTTGCAATCTCCAAGAGCCTCGGGTATATTTGTCAATGGGTATTTCTTTTTGCATTTCCACAGATTGTGCAGGAGTACGAGAGGGCGGTTATCTTCAGACTAGGTCGTCTCGTCCAAGGAGGCGCTAAAGGTCCAGGTAAGCTCTTCACTGATTCCTACGCCTACATCTTCACCAATCATTTGCTCTTTCACGTAAATACATTCACTAAATTGGCAATAAACGAAGTGATCGCACCACGGTCTTCATCTGAAACCCGTGTACATTGAGTTGTACGGGGCTGGGAAGGCCTGACTAGGATTGCCTATTTTGCCCCCATGGCATGCCGTGACATTTATCCTTCACAACTATATGCTCAACGTGCACACAGGGGTAGGCCGTACAAGAAGTGTTGGAGCTAAAAAAATATGCTTTGTCAAGGTGAAAAGTTCAATTCATGTGAATAAGGGCGGCAGGCATTTTTCCGTCTCCATTAGAGTCGTGATCGTTGGCAGCGCTAGCACGCTTTCATTCGCACAATAAATGACGCTGCATTAGGGGGTGGTGTTATTAGCTTTCAACTTTACACGGCACCTCATGGCGATGTCTACCTCGAAACTGACGGCCGGAAATTTTTTCTGAGTGTGTATAAGTGCTATCACTATAAAAGATTTTGCTTCATCCACTAAAGTTCTTTTTAAAGTTTTTTTTTGTTTTTTCATGTAGCCGAAAGAAAAATGTTGGGACAGCTTGTGCTATAGCGGTGCAAAGCTGGAGTAACAGCGGAGCTGAGAGTCAACCTAGCTTTTCCCAAGTTTAGCTAACTTTTGCCGGTGTTACGACATTTCGTTTAGGTGATGTGAAAATTTATGCTGCTATTGGAAATATTTTTCCCAGCGTTCCAACGTTTTGCAGGAATAAACTAGGTATTGCAAAGTTTTGGCACTGTTTAACTAGGCATTACAAAGACATCGTGGGAGTTCTGCTAAGTACAAGTGACAAAGCTTGAAGAAACAAAGCGACATCTTGGTACAGGTAGGAAAACCGGTTGCACTGGAGGCGTGATGCCTGGACACCTGTGGGAAGCTCGGTGCAGCAAGCCGCAGATGTGCCAAGTAGTTGCTATGCAACACGCAGTGCTATCATAATTAAGAAAGTTTTTGCGAACGCCTTGCTTAGAAATGGCCGGCTTAAACAGATCCGGTCGCAGTAGGCCTTGCTTAAGATAACACAAGAAGCTGTTGTTTATATATATGAAAGCGTATTGACCCATTTGCATGATGGGCTGAACTGCTCATTTAGAGTCCGGCTGATCTGAGCAGCAAATAGCTCTGCCGCAAGTAAGTCGTTTTTCTGTGTCATTGCGTGTTGAGTTAATTGTCGAGGTAATTGAATTTCTGCTATAGGCTGCAGCATTCACCTATAGCGAAGCGAGGAGTGGTATCTCGTTTTGCTACACATTTCATTTGACAGTATAATCGATAAAGAGAATGAAGATGTTAGGATAATTGAACAAAAATGACTAAGACTTGTTTAGTCTTTTTTCGTTGGGCGAGAGTCAATATATTAATCCGGGTGAGTACGATTTAGAGCACTCACCATTTATTGCACTCTGATAAATTTGGTGAAAGGGAGAGAAAAAATTTTAACGTGTATGATTCTATATTGACAAGGAACAGCTAGAGGAGCGGTGGAAAGAAAGCAGAGAAGATAACGGTTGTTTGCATCATCGGCACGCGCCAACGTATCTTTAGGAAACAAAGTACAGATACGCCATATAAGAGAGTTTCCCAATTATACACCAGAGGAAACTCTGGCGCTAGTGTCTATGGGAGCTGCCACGCATGGCGCTTCAGCGTGCATACGAATTATGGGTTGTACACGGATTGGCCTAGTCTTCGCACTTTAGGCTCCTTTTGGCTTCGCCTGGCTTGAAGCAGATTTGTCACAAAACAACAATGGGCAAATGTTCAGCAGTTGTGTTTCACCACCTTAACTTTTTAGCCTTAGCATTTCAAATTGGGTCACGAAGTTCAAAAGAGTTCATTCTTTCGTTCGAAACAAAACCAAAACACAGCAATGAACGAAGCCAGAAGTGCTACTCGCCGCCCGCAAGTACAAAGACTAGGCAAATCCATCACTACCCATCATTTCCATGATCGCTTAACAATCGCAGCGCCAGAGTACCCTCTAGTTAATTTTTGGAAACTCTATGCGCAGTCCACTGCATTATATTAAAGCAGTGCATAAGTAGCTCATGAAGTCTATGTGATAATTTTTCGCCAGCATAATTCAGAGGAGACACCACTAGTGGTCATTAGGTTCTAGTTTTTTATGACTACAAACATTGCCATCTTGAGCGATATTTCCAGTTTCTTTTACCAGTAGTAGTAGAAGCACGGGCTCTGTAAGCGACAACATTACAACGGCACCTAAGACGTCACAGGTTATATTCCCAGGAACACTATCCGCCGGTTAATTCGTCTCACTTTTCGCGGTATGCACGCTATAATTCAAAGAAAATAATGGTGGTTCACAAATATTCTTTCAGTGGTGCACTGATCCAGAAACAAGGGGGCCTTCTTCTTCGCACGCTATTTGGGGTCGCGTGAGCTCGCAAAAGGGGCAGGGCTGCACGGAGAAAGGAACAGGAAAGAGCTTCCCGGAAATATTATCTTTCCCACCGTGAATAAACGTACGTGCTATTCAGATCTCCCTCAATTCAGCAAGATCTGCATTCCTGACCCGGGCTTGGTTTGTTTTCGTATATTCCTGAAAAGCACAAACAAAACAAAATCCAACCCTGCCGTGCAAGCCAGTTGCATCACGCACAGTTTAGAACTGCAAAATGAAGACAAACTGAACAAATGAGGTTTCCGCGTTTGGAAAAGACAGCGATGCGGTTGGAGGGGGTGGAATGAAAAATTACTGTCTGCCCGGAAAGGTATTCGACTCTGGAATTGTGAAATGGCTGCCGTCGAAAAGGAATGTGCGGCCGTTTGCAGCACGCAGCAACATGCCGGAAATCCATACAACTTGGTCCCCAGTTTGTTTAATATTTACCGCGCTATCACTGCTCGCGGGTCAGTTTCCGCCTTTTTTTTTCTTGTTGTTGGCGCCGTCGTCGTATAGTTTAGATTGTTGTTTCTATTTTGGTCCTTTGCCGAACGCTGCAGCCAAGGAAAGCGAACCTTTATGTGTAGGCAAGTGGGTGGTCAGTGGCATGGTACCGCTCCCAAGAGTGCAAGAGAAATGCACCACGTCCCTCGCACATGCCGAGAACACTACGCACATGCCCGCGCACAAATGGGACTGTGTGTGTGTTCCTTTTGCATTGTTTTGGTGCTCTTGTTTTATTTACCTTTTTAATGGGGATTAGCCTGGCTGCATACATGCCCGTGCGTTCACGAAAAACAACCCCCCGAATCTGTCAATGGAGCTGTTCGAGTTTTGCTACACAATGTATCATCCGAGTTTCAGTCTAATTATGCAACAAGAAATCAACACTGTTAAGAAGAAAAAATTAAATGCGCTTGACTTCAGCCGCAACATGTTTTATGACATTGTATTCTGCTACTATAAAACCATTCATAAAAAAAACATTCATAATATTTATATAACACGTTTTCTTATCAATCACGAGGGATGAGGTCAAGAAACACCATCAGTTGAGATTCTGTGTGCAAGTGAAAGGCCTCCAGAAACGTGCTAAGGCTAGCGCTTACAATATATATTCAGTAATGTTTGCCTTCGTTGTTTCTAATAAATATTGTAATTTTCGCAATTTCGCCTATGTCTGTCATGCATTTTTGCTCGTCACTTACGAAACAGGCAGCGTCCGCATCAACGTCTTTGACCAGATATGTCGCTAACCTGGCGTCTTGAATAAGACGTCGTAGCCCCTTTCCAACAATTCTCGGAAAGGAATCACAAAAAAAAAGGAAAACAAGTGCTACCGCGAGCATGCGCTGCAGAAGCAAGCGGAGTGCGATGGTGATATCATATATGTGCAGGCCATTTCACACAGTCTGCAAAAGAAAGATGGGCTGACAAGCTGGTGTTGACGTAGTGTTCTCGGCACTAGTGCGATTGTCCGGCCGGTGCAAGAAGTTTAATGGTTCCAAGAAGCGCATGCAATCGTGTGAAATTAAGCACCGCAACCCTTTCGTCGGAAGCTCGGAAGAGGTGATGTACAAGATCCCTTGGACTTGTAAAAAGCTCCAGATTGTTCAGATAGGCAGGTGCCTAAACGCACTTTTGACGGAACACAACCATCACGTCATCATCAAAGATGCGGGGCAATTGGCCTTCCAGTGTAGGGATTGTGGCTGTGCACCCACTCGAACCAACACGGAAGTTGTGCGCAAATAACGCAACAAGGAAACGAAAGAAAGAATCGAAGTAATTGAAATCGACAAGTGGAAAGATAAATGGGTCAGTTGCCCCTCGGTATCATTCTCTGAAAATGCGCGCCGGTACCTTGGTATGTAACCAAATACTGTTTCTTTTTTACAACTTCTTATCAGCAGCACGAGTTTTTGAAATGCCTTATTATTATTATTATTATTATTATTATTATTATTATTATTATTATTATTATTATTATTATTATATATTATTATTATTATTATTATTATTATTATTATTATTATTATTATTATTATTATTATTATTATTATTATTATTATTATTTTGTTGTTTTCATCGTTGTCAGTGCTCGTGTGTTGTGGTTCATAAGCTGGGTCATTCAAAAATAAATCATCAGTTGCCGAACAAGACTTGTGCTTGCGTCCTTTATATGTGATATGCGTGTGTTTCTGTTTCCTTCTGTACGCTGCTTTATCAAAGGATCATGGCTCACGAACTAGCCCATCTGTACATATTAAACACATTTGTCCACTGCATGTCGTAATATATCGCGATAGCGACATGATCAGTTGTTCTTTAGGCTCGATGTGCTAGACGCGTGTTGTACATTCCAAAGACAAGCAGTGACAGTATATGTGCTAGTACACATTTAGCGTTGAGACCGTGACGCGTTTAATAAAAAGTGAACACAGGTCAAGCGATCAGTAATTCGAATCGGAGTATCACGAGCACCAACAACGGTCCTCGTCCTCGTCTTTTTCTGGCACTGCTGTTTGCAGCCTATTTATTTT